TCGAAATGGAAGTAAGCCCAACAATTATGAAACAAGAGATTCCTCGAAACCCAACTTTTCTTCGTATATGAATGTAACATCTCATACGGCAATTCGTTTCCCATTAGCTTCCTCTTTTGGCTCACAAAACACGATAGAACTAAACACACTTTTCCATGAGTAGACTTGATTGATGCTCCCGAGCCTATCGTTATAACAATCAGACTCTGCCCTATGATCCAAAGTCAGATCAGCCATCAAGCAGCATACAGATGATGAGTATTGTATCAAGCAAGTTAGTTAGCAGAAGGGCGCCACTTATCTGGGTCATGACCCAGTGATACGGCAGTACACAGAAGAAGCAGCTTCTCGCCTCAAATAACCACCCACACTAGGGCATCTTAACCCAACTATGCCAACTCTTCCAATGACAATTTGTACTGGACAACGGCCACCAAACCGATCTGCACAACATCTTCGCGCCTTGCATCTGCTTCGTGGTTCAGGGCAGTTTGACCTACAGAGTACTTCTCGTTAAGTCCGCCTCTATACAACTATAAAAACCGACTTAGCACTACTGGCAATGCACTAATTAAAACCAGTTGTTTGACCTTGCTTTCTCAACTTGGTCATATTAGTGGAAAGACCTAGAAGAAATTACCCTGTCCGAAGTCTATAGTATGCATAAAAATCTGGCGAGTCGGACTGTGGACTTGGAACATTTTCAGCTGTTTCGGGGTAGCGTCACTGAGCCTTGCCACTCTTTCATCATTCCAAAACTAATCAAATAGACAAGTGAAATCGATCCCTTGATTCAGTGCCTGGTAAAAAGTTGTAGTATCTCTTCTTCTATCCTGAGGTATTCATCTATCCTATCCTCGTATAACCCCTACACTATCTTAATTTATTGCTTGTTCATCTAAACATGGCATGGTGTGCCCTTTTGATCGGATTTAATGAGACCTCTTCACACCCCACACTGGCTTTCTTACTCCCCCCTCCCACTCTTGCGCTTAAAGCATCGATCCAAGTCTGTTCTTTTAGTCCGCAATCCTCATCACCCAGGTCCGCCCAGAGTCTCCCTCTGGCCCTGTAGGATCCGTATCTCAACGTCCTGGTTCAGGGACTTCACTCAACCACCGCCACCCTATCTATTCTACTTGAAGCATTATTTCCCATACTCTGCCTCAAGCCTTTGATGGCACATATGCTGGATGGGAGAGTAACTAGAGGCCATAGATCCTCTTATCACCGTTTTACATGTGCACCGGTTAATTGTCATGGTCAAGCCTTTGCTTCACGGATCGCGTTTAATGTTAGAGGACTAGCTCTAATCTATACCTAATTCAAAGTCTATGACTTCCTATGACCTAGTTTCTCGAGTACCAACACTTAAATATTGTGGTTATACTTACCTTGATTAGGCTCACAGTAGATGTCTCCTCTTGATTTATAATTCTTCCCTTATGACCACATCCCAGCGATTTCTCTTCATCATGATCACAATTTTTCCTTGATCTACTCGTCGTCATTTTGTAGATCTTGCTATTCCCTGATCTTCTCCAAACTGGTTTATGAGGAATGCAAAGATTTCGCAAATAGTGCCTTCTTCAAGTATTTGATGTATTAGATTTCTTTGATTCAGGACATCGATGGCCTCTCGGATCTTACATTCTATCGTATTACAATCTTGTCAGCCAGTCTTTCTGTCGATTTCCAGTTGATTACGTGTCCCATCGGTGCAATGCGTATCGTCATTTCGGATCTTTTTGAATCCATATTTCTGCAGTATTTGATGTTCCTTGAAATAGCGGAATACATTGCCCAGACGGTACACAAAATCAACTAGAAATCGACATAAAGTTGAAAATATGAGAAAACGCAAAATCGAATAAACCATCAATACCCTGACTAAAAAAATCTAATGAACAGGAGACTTGAAGAAATCAGGATTGTGAAAACTTTGAATATGGCCTAAGCACTCTCAGAGAAGATCAGCAAAAAAAGACAACTAGATCATGGAAAAACCTTCAAAATGAGGAAGAAAAATCGCAGGAAGAAGTCAACGGAGGAACAATTAGAAATCAAGAGACGTCTATAGTGAGCTTAGTAAAAAAAGTCTAGCCACAATATTTGGGGTAGCACACAAGAGAGTAGGGCATAGGAAGCTAATCCCACCACAGAATTATATGGGAAAATAATGGCCTAACTTTCATTACGTTTAAGAAGGCGGGTCGAAGTGATTCGTAGATTGGTCCCACCGGATACCGCAGAAGAGTTTCCATGGATGTTTATCTGTTTAATTGTGCGAAGAAAGCCTCGGCTTACCGTCCTATGACCCCGATCACTCTGTGTTGAGCTTTCGTCCGTCATGTGGCGAACATAGTCATAGCCAGAAGCCATTATTGAAGAAACAGTCACCAAAAACACTAAACCGAGAATGATGGCCAGCTGAGATACTACTTACTTCAGTTCGCGATCTTAATGAGGCATTTCATGATTAGTTTGGCTGACTTATGCTTGTCCTACATGCATGTAAAAAGGTCAGTGATGCAGGCAGGGGAGCGGATGTGATCATAACTTTTGTCTGTGTAAACAAGCTAAAGTATGATCCAGTAGTCCTGGGTCTTGTTACAGATTCGTGGATGCGTGTTTGCGTGTGTATACAACAACCACGAATGATTTAACAATTTTGGGTTTCATAAACAAGCTCTAGCTTAGTCTAGTCTTCTCATTTTACTCAGTAGCTCTTCCTGTTTCCTCTCCTTCTCTTTCTCTCTCTCACTCTCTCTCTCATTCTATTTAGAAGTCAGAGATAGTTCTTACTTAGTTTCCTACATTCGTTCATCTTATTCAGGATGTTCTTTGTTTTATTAATTTAAATTGACTCTCAGATCTTTCGTTTAGCTGTGACGTCCTCATAGTCGGCAAAAAGTTGGGATTTAGACAACACCATTTGGTGTCCTGTAGCGGCCACATGTTCAGCCACTTCCGATTTCGGAATACATATGTCTTTCCAGGCGGTTCTTTGTTCTGATAGCATCTTATATATGGGTCGACAAGTCTCCCCCACATGAGCACAAAACCTTAAGGCAACCGGATCTGCATAGGTGATCTGAAGATTCTTTAAAAGAAGGCATGATCGAGGAAAGCATCATTTTTTTCTTATACATTGTCATGGCACTCCATTTCCTCAATAATTCGGCTGTTTTCTTGAAAGCTTACAGGATGGTATCATTAGGAACCTGGCCGAGTTGTTTAATTCCTTGTTTCAGCCAAATATTTTGAAGTTTTTAACAATTAATCCTACAGGATACTTGTTCTCAACTAAGATTTTTCGTTACCTCTAACTCATGTTGTTGAAAATTTTCGTCCGCTAGACGTACTCCTTATTATCATTGCTTTCATTACGCCTACATTAGCATCATAAGTATGGCATTAAGAAATTAAGAAGGAAACCAGTAATTGTGGGTTTCCTATGTACATCTCCACCCAATTTTCTTCCTTCTTTACTAAGTAGGACATCTAAAAAGAGTAAGTTATTGTCCTTTTCTAGCTCCATAGTGAGTTCATTCGCCTTATCTACTCTATTAAGTAAATCAAGGTAGTCAATTAAACACTATTTGCCATGTTGCCAGATGACAAAGTAATCATCCACATATCTGACCAATATTTTCGGAACCAGGAGTGACTCCTGAAAAAGCCGGAGTTCCAATTGAGCCATGTAGTTATTTGCTAAAGCTGGAGACAAACACAATCCCATAGCTAACCCTCCGGTTTAATCGTACGATTTTCCATTAA